TCTTTCTTGGTATATGCCTTGAATCCATATTGGGTATGTTTTCCCAATCTATCTTCAAACTCAACTTGAGCAATAAATTATGGCGAATGATCCTACCCAAACTTTTCATATGAATAACTTGCTAGAGGCAAATTCCATTTTTCAAGTAATTCCATCAAAAACATTTTGAATGGTGCTTGAAACAACAACGAGGCATAGTACACTCTATTTCATCTTGCGAGGTTCTCTTCTTGACCTCACTTTTGCTTTTAAAAGAACTCTTCACCAGTTCTTTGCTTTTCTTATGGAGTCTAACTTTTAACTCACATCCACTCAACAGGTTCTCTTTTCAACAAACCCGGAGAAAAACTTCTTCAATTGTGTACTTCTACAACTTGTCGGAGATAGGAACCCGACTCGGGATCCGATACCAATTTATTGGGGATAGATTTCACACACCACACAAAGATAACAAGAAGGAAATTACTTGGAGAGGGCGGAGACACAAGAACACTTGATAAAAGACTCTTTGTTTATTAGAAACCTAACTCACTCCACTTTACATAAAATCAAATCACTTACGACTATATATAGAGATACTCATACACATATAACTAGACATCCCTTAATTATGATGCACGGAATGCTCAACATTATATTAAAGACACATCACACATAACTAGGTTCATGAATGTAATGACTACATTCATACTTAGCCATAATTAAGTTTACTTTCCAACATCCCCACGAAAACTTAATTATACACTGGTCATGACTTTTCAAAAATTACTTAGTCCATATCCAAGAGGAAAATCTCGAATAGCAAAAACTCTTCTTGGAACTCTAAAATTTAGTCCATTAGTGCTCGATTCTCCGGATTCCATTTCTTTTTTTTCTTCTTCGGTTCTTATATTTCTTGGACAACATTATTGTAATCTTTCCTCAAATCCTTATATACATCCTACATCCGGCTCAAATCAAACTTTGATTCATATATCTCTTTCACTAACATCCTTTATGATAATTTCATAGACACACTCCAAATGTCTTAGTACACGCAAAGTCGCTTCATTTTCGACATCTTTCTTCGTATATGCCTTGAATCTATATTGGGTATGTCTTCCCAATCTATCTTCATACTCAACTTTAGCAATAAATTATGGAGGATGATCCCGCCCAAACTTTTCCCATAGATAACTTGCTAGAGGCAAACTCAAGTTTTCAAGTAATTCCTTCAAAAACATTTTGAATGGTGTTGAAAGAAAAACGAGCACACTACACTCCATTTCATCTTGCGAGGTTCTCTTCTTGACCTCACTTTTGCTTTTAAAAGAACTCTTCACCTGTTCTTTACTTTTCTTATGGAGTCTAACTCTTAACTCACATCAACTCAACGAGTTCACTTTTCAATAAACCCGGAGAAAAACTTCTTCAATTGTGTACTTCTACCACTTGTTGGAGATAGACACCAAACTCGAGCTTTGATACCAATTTGTTGGGGATAGATTTCGGACGCTACAAAAATATAACAAGAAGGAAATTACTTGGAGAGGGCGGCGACACAAGAACACTTGATAAAAGACACTTTGTTTATTAGAAACTAAACTCGATCCACTCTACATAAGATCAAATCACCGATAACTATATGTAGATATACTCATACACATATAACTAGACATCCCTTAATTATTACACATAGAATACTAAACATTATATTAATGAAACATCACAAATAACTAGGTTCATGAGTGTAATGACTATTTTCATACTTAGCCATAATTAAGTTTACTTTCCCACATCCCCCTTTAAACATAATTATCCGAGTGGTCATGACTTTTCAAAAATTACTTGGTCCACATCCAAGGGGAAAATCTCGAGTAGCAAAACTCTTTCCGGAACTCTAAAATTTACTCCATTAGTGCTCGATTCTCCGGATTCCATTTATTTTAGTTTCTTCTTCGGTTCTTGCATTTCTTTGACAACATTATCATAATCTTTCCTCAAATCCTCATATACATCCCGCATCCGGCTCAAATCAAACTTTGTTTCATATAATTCTCTTTCACTAACATCCTTTATGATAATGTCATACACACACTTCAAATGTCATGTCACGTAAAGTCGCTTCATTTTCGACATCCTTTTGGTATATGCCTTGAATCTATATTGGGTATGTTTTCCCAATCTATCTTCAAACTCAACTTTAGCAATAAATTATGACGAATGATCTTGCCCAACCTTTTCACATGAATAACTTGACGGATGCAAATTCAAGTTTTCAAGTAATTCCTTCAAGAACATTTTGAGTGGTGCTTGAAACAAAAACAAGGACGAGTACACTCCATTTCATCTTCCGAGGTTCTCTTCTTGACCTCATTTTTTCTTTTAAAAGAACTCTTCAAACTTGAATTATGACGAATGATCTTGCCAATCTATCTTCAAACTCAACTTTAGCAATAAATTATGACGAATGATCTTGCCCAACCTTTTCACACGAATAACTTGACGGACGCAAATTCAAGTTTTCAAGTAATTCCTTCAAAAACATTTTGAGTGGTTCGAAAAAAAAACAAAGACGAGTACACTCCATTTCATCTTCCGAGGTTCTCTTCTTGACCTCATTTTTTCTTTTAAAAGAACTCTTCACCAGTTCTTTACTTTTCTTATGGAGTCTAACTCTTAACTCACATCAACTCAACGAACTTCTCCGTTCAACAAACCTAGAGAAAAACTTCTTGAATTATGTACTTCTACAACTTATTAGAGATACGAATCCGACTCGTCCGTGATACCAATTTGTTGGGGATAGATTTCGGACACCACACAAAGATAACAAGAAGGAAATTACTTGGAGAGGGAGAAGACAGATGAACACTTGATAAAAGACACTTTGTTTATTAGAAACTTAACTCACTCCACTCTACATAACATCAAATCACATATAACTATATATAGAGATACTCATACACATATAACTAGACATCCCTTAATTATTACGCATAGAATACTAAACATTATATTAATGACACATCACACATAACTAGGTTCATGAATGTAATGACTACATTCATACTTAGCCTTAATTAAGTTTACTTTCCAACATCATCCTATAATCATAATTATCCACTAGTCATGACTTTTAAAAAAGTACTTGGTCCACATCCAAGGAGAAAATCTCGGATAGCAAAAACTCTTTCTAGAACTCTAAAATTTACTCCATTAGTGCTCGATTATCCAGATTCCATTTCTTTTAGTTTCTTCTTCAGTTCTTCCATTTCTTGGACAACATTATCATAATCTTTCCTCAAATCCTCATATACATCCTGCATCCGGCTCAAATCAAACTTTGTTTCATATAATTCTCTTTCACTAACATCCTTTATGATAATTTCATAAACACACTTCAAATGTCTTATCACATGCAAAGCTGCTTCATTTTTGGCATCTTTCTTGGTATATGCCTTGAATCCATATTGGGTATGTTTTCCCAATCTATCTTCAAACTCAACTTTAGCAATAAATTATGGAGAATGATCTTGCTCAAACTTTTCACACGAATAACTTGCCGGAGGCAAATTCAAATTTTTAAGTAATTCCTTCAAAAACATTTTGAATGGTGTTGAAACGACAACGAGCACAGTACACTTCATTTCATCTTGCTAGGTTCTCTTCTTGACCTCACTTTTGCTTTTAAAAGAACTCTTCACCAATTTTTTACTTTTCTTATGGAGTCTAACTCTTAACTCACATCAACTCAATAGGTTCCCTTTTCAACAAACCTAGAGAAAAACTTCTTGAATTATGTACTTCTACAACTTGTTAGAGATAGGAACTCGACTCAAACTCTAATACCAATTTGTTAGGGATAGATTTCACACACCACACAAAGATAACAAGAAGGAAATTACTTGGAGAGGGAGGAGACACAAGAACACTTGATAAAAGACACTTTGTTTATTAGAACTTAACTCACTCTACTCTACATAACATCAAATCACTTATAACTATATATAGAGATACTCATACACATATAACTAGACATCTCTTAATTATTACACATAGAATACTAAACATTATATTAATGACACATCACACATAACTAGGTTCATGAATATAATGACTATATTCATACTTATTTATTCATACTTAGCCATAATTAAGTTTACTTTCCAACGGGCACATCACAACTTCCCTAACCTAACTATATCCCCTAAAACTCCATCTTTATAAGAAGGAGAGCCAACAATAGAATTTCAGTAGACGGACACTCGTAGCAATCCGAGAAAATATTTGAGTACACATTGATAGCGAAAGTCTCGCGAGGAAAACCACCGATCAACACGATTAGAAGCAACATACAACGAGCATTGGGATTTACAAGAAATTCCGATAGTAGGTCCGATAGATCCAAGACATGTTACGATCGATCGTTATCACATGAGGATTTTGTAAAAGCATGGTCTACATAATCTAGAATAATAGAAAATTCTCTCTTTTGGTTGTTCAAATGGGATGTGGATTTTTTCATAAGGTATGAATTGAGGAGGGCAATAGTATAGATCCGTTTATCTAGTTTACCTATATCATTCTTTCCTTCGGCTTTCCCGAGAGAAATTATGAAGCCCTTTGGCACCTTCATCCGGCCAAATGATCGAACATTAATGGCTCTCACCCTATACATGCAAGGGTGTTTGTAGAAGTTGATTTAACAGAAGAAATTCCAACACGAGTATGGATATCTGGGGTACAGATAAGAAAAATGGTTTCTGGCAACAAGTAATGGTGGAATCTAACACAAGCTTCTGCAAGCACTATAAACTTCAAGGACACCAGGATAGATTGTGTGTCGAAAAATGTCCTCCAACAACGTGAGTATTGGACAAGGAGCCTGTATAGTAGGCAACAATAAGCAAGGTATACAGTCGCCACATGTCCAGATATGGCAAATAGTAACGAGATGTCAGAATGCAAAAGGACCTGATATTCAAAGCCTAGAAGCATCTCATCCTCATCCAGTCTAGTGCGCCAAAAACAGCACATCAGATAAAGCAAAAGGAATAATAACATCGGTGGAACACAATCATGTTCATAGCCAGATAACCATTAACATCCCAGATTATTCTTCAGCTAAAATATCAGCTGCTTCTGCGGCCCATCAGGAGGTTGTGGATTATACGCTAGGGGAGAAAGCAATTCTTTGCCAACCCAACAACTGATAGGAAATCAATAGAAATGAAGGCCAGGTAATCCAGATGAACAAGCAGACACAGTTGGAAACAAGGGATGATATCACAATAAGGAGGGACAAGCAATGTTATCACAGTGGTACTCAAAGAACTAGCAATTCTGCAATACAGTAGATGCAAGGGGAAAGGAAGAACAATGAGGACACAGTGACTCCCATTCAGTTGGAAAATGCCTCACATTCTCAACTCAACAACTCTCAAGAAATAAATAGCAATCAGGAACATGGATTGCATGGTGAGGAGCAAAATAGTATCGATATTGTCCCAATAGGTAATCCAGCAGTTACTTTTCAGTTACATGATCTGAGTAGTGAGAATTCCTTTAGTATGCTTTCAGAGCCAGGATTAGATGACGGGGTGATAACAAGTGAGATGGACGTGAAATTATCACCCCATGCAGTATCAGAAGGTTCTAATGAGAAGTAGGAATGGGTGGCTCAGAAGTTTCGAGAGAAAATGTAGGACCTGGAGACACAAGGGATGTTTAAGTCCAAGAAGCATAAGAAGAAGCTGCTGAAAGATCTAGTTCAATTAAGTGGCATGAGAGTAACAAGGTCAAATGTGGACCATAATGGGGAGCCATTTTTTGCCTTATCCAATGAATAGCAGCTTGTGTTGGAATATAAGAGGTATTGGTGCCTCAAACAAAAGAAGATATCTGAAACGCATGATCTTCCATAATAAAATTTCTTTTTTAGTGCTATTAGAACCTAAACAGATGGGTTCAAACCTTTCCAAGTTAGCAAGATATCTAAATTTCCCAGGATTCTTGAATGGTAATCCAGTTAATAAGCATATATAGGTGCTTCGGAAGGATAATCTAGAGGTGATCATACATTCAGTATGCACACAATCTATAACTTGTCTGGTGAGAGATATTGTGAATGAAAAAAGTGTATATTTCTCTGCTATATATGCCAGCTGTGAGAGATCAGAAAGAAGAATTCTTTGGGACAATCTCAGCATGCTTAATAGCTTAAGTCCATGGATAATAGGGGGGACTTCAATGCTATAGCAAGCTTATCTGAAAAGGCTGGTGGAACTGTTACGAATCAAGTCATGAGTTCAATGTATGATTTCAAAAGTGGAATCAGCTTGTTAGGCTTACATGATATTGGCTACTCAGGTGGTAAATTTACATGGTGCAAAACTAAGAAGGCATCTCCAGACTCTGGAAATGGTTGGATAGGGTAATGGTGAATTCTGAAGCGTTATTCTAAAATTGTCTTGTAAGCATCTCCCCAGGTAACATTCAGATCATTGCTCACTGTTATTATCGTGGGATAAATATACTCATAAGCTGACTAGATTCACTTTTAAGAACATATGGACCACTCATGAAAACTTCCAAGAGTTCGTTGGTACCCACTGGAAACAGAATTGCAGTAGCAATGCCTTTCTGAATCTCCAAATGAAGCTAAAAAATTTGAGGGGGAACCGAAGAATTGGAATTGGAAGGTTTTTGGGGAAGTGAATCAAAAGATGAATAAGGCTTCTGATGAGGTCATTCAGTTAGAGGCTACCCTACAAGCTATGTGGAATTAGGAGAATTATGACAAGTAACTAGCAGCGAAACAAAAATTGGCAAGAGTGGTAGAACAAGAGGAGATGTTATTATAGGAAAAATTAAGAAGCAAATGGCTACAGACAGGAGATCAAATTCATCTTATTTTCATGCATATATCAAGAGAGCAATTCCAGAGTTACTGTAGAAAATGGAGGATGGTTCAGGTTATGAAAATGATCTCCAGATGGGTAATGCAGTAGTGGATTATTACCAAAAGATGTTCAGAAGTGAGGGGACGTCCTCGGAGGAAGGTTTTCTGAACATAGTTCCCTTATCAGTGACAGAGGAGAAGAATAATTTGCTTATGGAGATGCCACAACCAGAAGAAAATAAGGTAGTGGTTTTCAGCATAGAGGGGGTAGTGCACCAGGTCCAGACGGATTTACTGGTGTACTCTATAAGGCATGTTGGAGTATTATTGCAAAGGATGTTACACTAGCTATCTATGAGATATTCAAAGGGGGAGAAATTCCAAAAGCAACAAATGCTACAAACTTAGTGCTTATTCCCAAAGCTACAAATCCAACCAGGTTCGAAGATTAGCGCCCAAATAGCTTATGCAACTTTTCATATAAAATACTATCCTGTATTATCTCTAACGGCCTGGGTGCAGTCCTTCCTTCTATTATGTCCAAACAGCAGTCCGAGTTTGTCAAGGGTAGATTGATTCATGAGAATGTGGCATTGGCACAAGAGCTCTTTAATGATATAGATAGGAAAATACATTGGGGGGGGGGGGGGGGGGGGGTGGGGGCGGACATTATACTCAAAGTGGTTATGACAAAGGCTTATGACAGATTGAAATGGGAATTTTTATTTCAGGTGTTAGAGGAGTTTGGTTTTTCAAGCAGTTAGAGGGATATGGTTCGCAAATGTGTATCGAACAGCTTGTATTCCATCATCCTAAAAGCTACTGAGTATGGTTTTTTCAAATCAAGTCGTGGAGTGAGACAAGGTGACCCTTTGTCATCAACCCTCTTCATACTGGCTCAGGGTGTTCTCTACACACACATCAATGCCTTGATTACAATAGGAGCTATTAAACATTACTACATTGGAACAGTTGCATTGTTTCTCATTTGATGTTTGATAATGATGTTTTGGTTTGTAGTAATGGTGGGAAGAGGAATGTTGACAAATTATTATCACTCTTAAAGGAGTACTCTTCTACCAGTGGACAAATGGTAAATTCCAAGAAAAGCTCTTACTTATATAGCTCCAAACTATCACCTAATAGAAAATCTCTTTACTCCAGTTGGACTGGATTCACGATGGCTGCTAGAACTATTACATACCTTGGAGTTCCCTTGTTTCAAGAAAAGCCTTGTCTGGATTACTTTACAAAGCTGGAAGTAAAAATAAAAGATAAAATAGCAGGATGGAAAGGCAGACTACTATCAACTGGGGGAAGTTAACACTGATACAAAGTGTTCTATCCTCCATGCCCATTTATATCATGGGAACCTTGCCAATCCCAAAAACAATCATTGCTAGATTGCAAGGTCATATATCCAACTTCTTTTGGAACAATAGGGAGGAACGTAGTCATCATTAGATCAATTGGAAAGCAATCTCGCTTCTGGTCCATCTTTTGGAATAATGGGGAGGAAAGTAGGTGTCACTGGATCAACTGGAAAGCAATCTAGCTTTCGGTCCAAGGGGGTGGGCTGGGAATTAAAAATTTATCAGAGGTGCTGAATAATATGAAAGGGAAATTGGCTTGGTCCTTCCTAACAAGCTCATCTCTGTGGAGTCCGCTTATGAGAATAAATATGGGGAGCCCTCACATTTCGAATCTCTCAATGGTCAAAAGTGTTCTGTGAAATAGAAAACTTTACATCCTCACATCTGCTACTTGTTAAACTATTCAATCTAGATGGTGGGGGCTGGTAGTGTCAGTTTATGGAAGGATAGATGGTCTCTTATAGAGCTTTCCCAGACAATGGGAGATTTGCACATCACGACTGCTTAGGCTAAGCAAAACTTGCACAATTATTTAACTCTATCCTCTAAGATGCGAGTTGAACCGGACAAGGTGTATATTTAGGAAAATGTAGTAGATAAACTTATTCATATAGGATCAAGGTTAGGCGAGTTCACCACTAAGGATTACCATGAGGAAAGAAGACTCAAAGCTCCTATGTTTGAATGGTGGCAAAGCCTTTGGAACCAGTGGATACCAAGGAAGATTGGAGTCTTGGCCTGGAAAGTAATAACGCTTTAGCAGTGGAACATAATATTAAGGCTTGTGATATATCTATAGCTTTTAAATGTCAATGCTACATAACACCAAAGAGAGAAACTGTTGGCCAATTATTCATTCAAGTTAAGGTGGCTGAAGAATTTTGGAGCCATTTTGCAGGTAAACTGGATGTAGCTACAGGCCTACAAGATATCTACCAACTTGCTACAAGATGGCTGGAAAAAGGAACTCCTCACAATCAGAAGCAATTTATACACATAGTGGTTTTTAGCTGTAGCTTGTGGGAGTTATGGATTGCAAGGAATAAATCTATGTTTGAAGGGGAAGCTATGAATGAGGAGATAATTAAAGGTAAGATTACTAAATGGATATATGAACTATCTTCCATGTTCCAGCCTTCTGCCAGTTTAGGTTTTCACGATAAGATTTGCATGAGGACCTTTGGAGTGAACTTTAAGTAGACAATAGTAAGCAAAGGCAGATGGATTAGATGGAAGTGTCCTCCAATAAGTAAGTTTAAGCTAAACTCTGCTGGTGCTTCGAGGGATAACAATTTTTGTGGGGGAGGGATATTAAGGTATGACATGGGTAACTTGATAATGGCCTATTCTAACTATTATGGTTACGGAACCAACTCTAAAGGGGAAGCTTTAGCGTTATTAGAAGGCCTTAAAATTTGTAAGGATTTGGGACTACCAGTAGATGCATTGGTTTTAGGTTGTCTGGCCACTAAGATATCCTATCCTTGGCAACTGCAATATATCATTCAAGAGCGTAGAGGACTCCTTCATTCAGATACTACAATTCTTCACACGTTAAGAGAGAGTAATAGAGTAGCCGATCGTCTAGCTGACTGGGCATATCAGCATACTACTCATAAGACAATTGCTAATATTTCTTCACTGCCTCATGCATGCAGAGTAGCCTTGTCTGATGATGTATTGGGTTTTTATAATTATCGGGCATATTATAGCCTCTTCTTTGTTGTGATATAGTTTAGAATAGAAGACCTTGTGCAGCAAGTAATGAATTCTTTTGTTACAAGTTATATCCTACGTCTATCAGGGGTTTAAGTGTTTTTTGTTCTCTCAAAATGTTGGATTAGGCTGATTTATCCCTCCTTTGTATTTTATTACGTTTTTTGTTGAATATATTTTCCAAGGTACTATCCTTGTTTCCAAAAAAATAAATAAATAAATA